TCATTCTGACGGCACCCATTCACTGCAGAGGATCCATCGGTGAGCAAGTGATGCAATGCTACATTTCTCCAAATCAATGAAAAAATAAACTCATCTGCATCTTGGACGGCCTGAGGTTGAGTAAATTGTACGCATATTCTTATTTTGGATGAACTGTTCCTTTAAGGACCATGTTTTGCCTCATTTCAGATAGGTGACAGAGTGATGGCCTTTGTAAACTACAATGCTTGGGCAGAGGTGGTGTGCACACCGTTGGATTTCGTGCATAAGATCCCAGACGACATGACATTCCCAGAGGCGGCTGCCTTCTCTATGAACTTTGTGGCTGCCTACATGATGCTGTTTGAAGTGGCCAATCTCCGGGAGGGGATGTCTGTATTAGTTCACTCCGCAGGAGGTGCGGTGGTAAGTCTGTAGCTTTGAAAAGGTTTAGTAAAGAAACTTTGATGTCGCAGATATTAAAGTTATGTTTATTTTAGCTTATAGAAAAATGGGGATTTGGACACAAACATATAATCTGATCCCATACTGATATTCAGCTTTCCAAGCTTAACAATATGGCTTTTGGTGGAATATGATCAAAATGAGTTTCTCTTTTTCCATATTAGGGTCAAGCAGTCGCTCAACTTTGTTCCACTGTCCCAAATGTCACTGTGTTTGGGACCGCCTCACCCTTCAAGCACGAAGCCATAAAGCATTCAGTCACTCATCTGTTTGACAGAAACATCGACTACGTTCCGGAAGTTAAGAAGTAAGCACAAACACTGTTGTTGTTGTTGTTGTTATGCGAGTAAGTAAATGAGCACAGAGAAGCGGGATTAGTTAGATGATGAGAATATAAAAATGAGTCATACTGGGAGGCCAGTGCAAGTCTGAGATTCAGACGTCACCAGTACTTCCTCTAGACTTGCGTGGCTCCAGTCCCCATGGCAACACCCAGCAGATGGGAAAGTAGTGTGTTGTAGTATGGGGAGGGGCAAATGTACGTCCTTCTGATCAACCACACAAAGCCAGAGAATGTGCAGCAGCTGACTCCTTCAGAGCCAACCGCAACAAATATGAGAAAACATTATTTTGTAGGAGATTAAAGGGCTGGTGTCTAACAATTCCTATGGTGAATCTCATTTGTGCAGCATCTTTTGATACATTCTTTTTTGGTTACACTGTATTTTAAGGTGTCCTTGTTACAGTGATACATTTAAGTATATTAATTAACTACATGTACTTACTCTATGGTTGGGGTTAGGATTAGGGTTTGGGTCAGGGTTACTTGAATGTAATTATGCTTAATTTATTGCTGTTGTTATAATAGTAGGTACCTGTAACGTGTAACAAGGACGCCTTAAAATAAAGTGTTACCGCATTTTTTTACTGGTTTCCTTTACAAAAATAAATGAATAAATAGATAGATAAATAAATAAAAAGTATTGTAGCAAGATATTGGTGGAGTAATGCTAAAAAATACTATGGTAATTCTAAAATACAAAACAACAACATAATACTATCTTGGTTTAACAAAAAAATAAAATAAAATACAATAAATAAAAAAAATTCTAAAAATTCCTATGGTGGATTTGTAAAGCATCTTTTTATCAATTTTCAAAAGTGAAAAAAATAAATAAAATTGTAGCAAGACTATACTGCAGTAATGTTAAAAATACCATGGTTATTCTAAATTACAAAACAACAACAACATGTTATTATCTTGGTTTATGCCTAGATTGATAGTACTTGATTGTTTTGTTAGGTTTATTCTAACAAAATAAATATTTAGTTTTATTGAAATAATTTGATTTTGGTGCACGTTTATGTTTGAACAAAGCCAGAAGATGTGCAGCAACTGACTCATTCAAAACCAGCTGGAAGAAATTTGAGAAAACATCATTTTGCAGAAGATTGAAGGGCTATTTTCTAACAATTCCCCTGGATCTCATTTGTAAAGCATATTTTGTCTGTTTTTATTGGTTTCCCTTACAAAAAATGTCTTACAGCAAGACTATGGTGCAGAAATGGTACAAATATCATGGTAATTCTAAAATGAAAAACAACAACTACAGCATGATATTATCTTAGTTTATGTCTAAAATGATAGTACTTGGTACTTTTTGTTAGTGTTATTCTAACAAAATATATATTTAATTGAAGTGATTTTGATTGTTTAGACAAAGCCAGAGAATATGCAACAACTGACTCACTTAGAGCCAACTGCAACAAATTGGTGGATTTTATTTAAGCATATTTAGTCTATTTTGTTATTGGTTTCCCTTTCAAAAATAAATAAATAAAAATAAAAAAAGTATAGCAAGACCATGGAGCACAAATGGTAAAAATACCCTGGTAATTCTAAAATACAAAACAACTACAACATGGTATTACCTTGGTTTAGGTCTACAATGGTAGTACTTGATGTTTTTAAGTGATTTAATCTTGCTGCATGTTCATGTTCAAACAAAACCAGAAAACGTGTAGCATGACCATGGTGCAGAAATGGTTAAAAAATACAACAGTAATTTTAGAATTTAGTAATGGTAATTGTAGTACAATGGTAGTAGTTCTAGAATACATGTCAGTGTCTATTATGGTAGTATTTTATGCTTTTTGTTAGTTTTATTCTAACAAAATAAATATTTTAATGAAGTGATTTGCTCTTGGTGTATATTTATGTTCGAACAAAGCCATAAAATGTGCAGGAACTGACTTGAGAAACGTTGTTATTATTCTGTAGAAGATTCATCCATATGGTGGATCTCATTTGTAAAGCATATTTGTCCATTATTATTGTTTTCCTTTACAAGCAAGAACATTGTGCAGTGATGGTAAAATACCTTGGTAATTCTAAAAATACAAAACAACAACGTATTACTACCTTGGTTTAAAACTATGGTAGTACTTGGCACTTTTTGTTAGTGTTATTCTATCAAAATATGTTTTATTGAAGGGATTTGATCTTGGTGCACGTTTATGTTCAAACTAATTCACGTAAATTGAGTATGAGAGCGGAGATTAGGACTCTTTTCATCTCTGTGGTTCCACATTCCTCTCAGGATCAGGGGCAAAGCTAAATTAAATTGGTCTCAAGTTGGTCTCTCTTCCACAATAGGCAGGACCCCAGGCATCACAAGACCTCCTAATGGTTAAGCCTTGCAGGCGGTCCAAGAACCATGAAGTCAGGAATGCATTAGAGCCCATGTTTCTAAAGCCATACCTCTCATTCCTTAGCAGCTGAGACACTGGAAAATATTCAATATTAGGGCAATATTAATATTCCAAATTTTCAGAGGCCCCGATTTAAGCAAGCTACCAGTGCTTAGAGCAGCAATATGGTTAATGATGTCTCTTTTCTCCTGCAGGATATCTCCAGATGGAGTAGATATTGTACTAGACTGTTTGTGTGGAGAGAACACAGGAAAAGGCCTAACTCTGCTCAAGCCCATGGGAACGTACATCCTGTATGGTTGGTACAAACGGATGAAGAGCATTTGCATAACACTGAAATTAATTAAACATTTCAAAATGAAAATTCTGTCATCATTAAGCAGTGTGACTTTCCATCTTCTGTGGACCACAATATGCGTTGTTTTGAAGAATGTTCTTGCAGTTCTTTTTTTGCTTATGAGAAACATTTAATCACCGTAAGCTGTAAAGCACCAGAAAGGACAAAAAATGTGCTATAAATGATGTTCCCAATCCCTTGTGAAAAAGAAGTACATTTTAGCATACTTTAAAAAAGAGGACTTTTAAGGGAAGTAATGAATGTACTTAAGTGCAAACTGAACTGTTTTTGGACACTTAACTGCATGTTATTTAAAATGAAATGACAATTTATTTTAGTTTAAATTTATATTAAATTCAATTAGTTGAAATGCAGAGTGCTTTTTTGACCCACTTAAGTTGAATGCAAGTACAAGTTATATGCAGTTTCATATAGAAATATGGCTTAAGTGTACTGCTGAATGTACTGACAAACATTTATGGTAAACTGAAATATTCTAATGTCATTTTCTATTCATGTCATTTCTATTAAACTTGTATGTCATGTATTTAAATACATTTGTAATTACACATTTGTTATGATGAAATTACAATTTACTACATTTAAAATATATTAACTTTAAATGTAATATTGAATAACACTCTAGTTAAAATTATACTTAAATACCTTTTCACGTATTTTAGTATGCTATTCAACACATCAAAATAATTATACTTGTTTAAAGGGGTCATATGATGCGATTTCAAGTTCACCATATACACAAAATAATGATCTTTAAAAAAGCATCATATGACCCCTTTAAACATGACAATAGTATATTAAAACAATTATTTAAATTGTAATTTAAAGTACATTTAATTTGACATTATTACAAATTAGACTTTAATTTGGCATTATTACAAAGTGCATTTTTAAAAGCATATTTAAGTGTGTTAGGAAACATAGCGTACTCTCTTTAAGTACACTTAAGTGACCTTATACTTCATCAATGTTATAATATCTTGCAAGTACAGTATTTTAAAAATATATTTTTTAGATTTAAAGTCCCCATGAAATCAAAATTAAAGTTTTTTGGGTGTTAGTATCAATATGTTAGTCTTGAGGTTTTCTAGAAGGCAGTGTGCTCCAAAACAGTGACAAAATTCGCATTTATAAGAAAGTTATCTATAAGGCAGTGTGCTCCAAAACAGTGACAAAATTTGCATTTATAAGATATAAGCATTCAAAGCTTGCAGTTCGTCACTTCAACCAAAACGGCTCAACGATTTTTTGACGTCACATTGTACTTCATCTTCTCATCAAATCTTCTGACCAATCAAATGCTCTCTAGAATCTGAAGCACACGCCCCCTGCACTATAAATAGACACTGAAGCGGCTTGAGATTGGTCACTTATTCACAGTGTAGTATTTCCTGTACAGTGAATGGCTCGAAGTGCACAATGTAGGTGATAGGGAACGATTCAGACAGTGTAAATATGCTTTTGATTGGTGCAAATGAGGTCTGGTTTCACGCGAACCGCGGCAGCGCAAACAGTCTGATCCGGACTTTGGCTCCGGGTCCAGAGACGCGATCGCACGGAGCGGATTATATGCGCGAGTCTGCATATATTAAAAACTTTTACAACTACACAGCCTCAGCATGATTATCACCACTATTTTGTTTTACTAAGAGTTTCAGATTGAATCTAGTGGGTAATCTATTAGACTGTGACTGCTTTACCGAGCTCAACGGCTCTGGCCCGAGCAGATATAAACAAAACGCTATTGGCTATTTTAAAAAGGGGGCGGGGCTGCTCGATATGTCCCGCCCTCTCTTCCTGTTTCAGTTGAAATTACGTCACCACATAAAATAATGCTGCGTGTTTCAAGGCACTTCAGGGGACCTTTAAGTACACAACAAGTGGACATGACCAATGATGACAGAACTTTCATTTTTGGTAACTATTGCATCATGCAATAGATTGTAGAGAAAGAGAAAATATGTAGCAAGATGTCATTCCCCATGAGTAGGAAATATCCAAAAGGTTCATGTGTGACCTCTTGACCCTCATTTAAAAGCAGCCACTAGACACACAAGGTGTCACATTCTAGGTGGCCAACAGCAAACTGAGGTTAATCACATAATTCTCATAAAAGATAATGCCTGCAACTTTAATTACTTCAATTCCCTTAGCTTTCTGGTCCATTATGGATATTTAATTAGGAGGGAAACCACAGAGCAGAGATAATGTAAAATTTTGGTTTAAGAACACATTACTGCCAAATGAATGAATCAGTCAACATAATTCTGGATGGAGCTTATTAATAAGAGAGCCATTTGGCATTGCTGTGATAGTGTCATGTTTTATTGCTTCATATGCCAAGAGTTTACTTTGTGTCTTTTAACATTTTAAGTCCATTAAAAATGGAATGAGTAATTTCTGAGTAATTATCAAAATTGATAATTGTTTTTAAACATGTTTTCCGATTACTCCCCTTCTGCCATTGGTTAAGTTAAAGCTTGATAGACTGGTTGAACCAATAGTGTTGCATCGGGTTTGTTGGGATGCTCAAACAGTGCAGTGTTTTGAATGCTTCACAGAGACACAGTGTTACACCGTTAAATGCATTTTATGCAAGTAGTCTGCTATACTGTTATGAAGATATCATTGATTTACATTACAAGTTATCGGAATTTCATCTTACTTTTTGACCATAAGAATGTCAGCAGCTGCACCACATTTTTGCTCAGTGTGGGCCTCTGAATAGAACTGAAGTATGAGCTCCATATTCTCCAATGTCATACTATATGAGCCATAGAAGTCTGGTGTATCAAATATGATACTCAACAAGAAGCACATGTGCAAACCTTTTTTATATCACATTTAAAAAGGCTTCTGAAAAATATATACAGTATTAAAATATATCTTTGTTAACACATTTCCAGGTTCATCAAACATGGTGACAGGAGAGACAAAAAGTTTCTTCAGTTTTGCTAAATCTGTGAGTAGAGTTTGAGATCTATTTTCCATAACATCTTAAGTGTTGCACCATGACGAAGTTTTGGTGGTCAGTTTGTTAAAAACATTGCTCTTTATCTCACAGTGGTGGCAGGTTGAGAAGGTGAACCCTATCAAGCTCTATGAGGAGAATAAAGTCATAGCCGGATTCTCGCTCCTGAACCTCCTCTTCAAGCAGGGAGGGTGCAACCAAGTCAAAACAGCGGTGCAAAAACTTCTTTCCCTTTACGACCAAAAGAAGATCAAGCCTGTTGTTGATTCCTTATGGGCGCTTGAGGAGGTAAGAGACAGCGCTTTCAAAAGCAATCACATTTTCTTCCAATTTATGAAATATATAAACACATCGTACTCATGTACTCCACCAGTCAGATGTTTGGAATAATTACGATTTTGTAACGTTTTTGATAGGAGTGTCTTATGCTCACTTTGGCTGCATTTATTTGATCCAAAATACAATAAGAAAACTGTAATATTGTGAAATATTATCATAACTTAAAATTATAATAAATAAAAATACATTTTCTGTTGAAATATATTTTAATTTATTGCATGCTCTATTTTAGGATTATTTTGATGAATAGACGGTACAATAGAACAGCATTTATTTGAAATATAAATCTTTTGTAACATCCTTGCTGTATAAAAGTATTCAATTCTTTTCTTTCTTTCTTTTTTTAATCTTACTTACCCCAAAATTTGAAATGATGTATCATGGTACCCACTAAAATATTAAGCAGTGAAAACTGTTTTCTACATTGATAATAACACCAAATCAGCATATTAGAATGATTTCTGAAGGATCATGTGACACTGAAGACTGGAGTAATGATGCTAAAAGTTCAGCTTTGCATCACAGGAATAAATTACATTTTAAAATATATTCAAATTGAAAACAGTTCTTTAAATTGTAAAAGTATTTTAAAATATTACTGAGTTAAATACAACCTTGTGAACATAAGAGACAGTAACATAAGAAATATTGCAAACTTTTGACCGGTAGTGTATCTTTATGTGCATATTTTACTTTTAGAACTGAAAATCACAATTTTTACTCATTTCAATGCAAAGAACATAGTCATTAGCCAATCATAACAGAGCGTATTTACACAGAAGAAGCCAGTGGCGGATACAAAAATGGACATTTCTTAGGTACAGAAAGAATAAAAATTAGTCATGTAAAACAAAATTTTGGCTGTTTTTAGATCATGGAACCTCGGGAAAAGGAAATGAAAAGTTTAAAAATATAGGCCGATAAGATCTCTATGAAATCTATAGATATATCAAAATATTCGCAAGTCTGCGAATTGCCATTCACTACCCATTTTCCATTTAAATGTGATGAAATTTAGTCAGATTTGACTCAATGTTGACTTTAATTTCACTGATCAATTCAACACAGTGACTCGTTTTATATTTAGAGTTTGATTCTCTTTCTTTGTGCTTGGCTTGTCAGTGTGATTTCAATTCAGATTTCTGTCATCAGTCAAGCAATAAATTTACCTCCTCTAAATCCCTGAAAATTGATTTCCCTAAAGCCCTTTGAAAGCTTGGCTTTTAAGGTTTGTAAAAGTAAGACGTGTGCCAACCTCCATTCCTGCATGCAATCAGCTGCTGTCTCAGACCATCAGATGACAGGTGGGCAGTCGGCCCTTGTTTTGCATCTTTTTGCTTTGATTATGGCTGGTTAATGTCGTTCTGTTCTTCCTACTCAGCCAGACAGCCCTCCCTCTGTGAAACCCAACAGAGCAGCACAGTCTGCGGCCAAACCTGCCTGTGTTTAACAGAGCTATGTGTGATATGCTTCATTCACATTGCAGAAGTCTCGGAGAGTTGATTGATAGCACATGGAGTCATTATTGCATTATTAATGTTGAAAATGATGAATAACTCTGTGATTTCCTGTGTGGTGTGGTGACACATTTTGCTTCTTAGATTATGCAGCTGTAAATTACTTTTCCTTATATACTATACTACAATACTGTACTATACTATACTAACTTTTAGTATAAGGAACAGACGCGTGTTGCTGTTTCCCTTTATTTTGACCATGCTAGTGCTATAGTTCCCATGTTTCCCCTTCCATTTAATGCATTAAATTGATCAAAAGTGACAGTATAGACTTTTAAATTGTTATTTCAATTTCAAATAAATGCTGCTCATTTGAACTTTCTGTTCATCAAAGAAACCTGAAAATGTATCATGGTTTCCACAAAAATTTTAACTGCACAACTGTTTTTATTGATAATAAGAAATGTTTCTTGAGCAACAAATCAGTATATTAGAATGAAGCGGAGTCCAGCCCGGGGTCGTCACATGTGGTTGCCACAAGCCCGCCGGACGCTCCTTCGTCGAATCCGCCGGCCACGCCGTTCTTAAGCCCACCCGCCGCCACTCACTCTAGGCCTCTGGCCTCCGCTCACTCAAGTACCAAGTACCACTGTGTGACGTTGTTTCGTTTTGAAAGCGAAAAAAGAGGACACGACTAGAAATCAGTGGTTAAGTTGTATTTACAACACTGTTCCAGAACAGTTTAACCCAAATATTCCGATGTGTCCAGTGCATTTTATGGAGGACTGTTTCCTGATCTCTTCGATTTCTTTCAGACCGATGAGCTTTGTATAAATCGATGCGTTTCAGAAAGGCGGGGCATAGAGGAGAAACAATAATGTACAGTATGTGGAAAATAATGTGTTTTTTTAACCTTAAACCGCATAAACACATTTCATTACACCAAATACACAAAATAATGTTCGTTTTAGCAGCATCATATGACCCCTTTAAAATATATTCAAATAGAAAACAGTTGTTTTACAATTGAATAATATTTTACAATATTACTGTTTTTACTGTATTTTTATCAAAATAAATTTGGTAAGAATAAGAGACTTCTTTCAAAAACTTTAAACATATCTAACTGACCCCAAACCTTTACTTAAGTCATGTCGCTTATTCTGGTTGCTTGTTTTTCTTGCAAAATCTGGCAACGCTGAACTGAACCATTAATAGATTAATAATTAGTTGGGCTAGATGAAGATATTAGAAATCAGAGTGTTGCAATCAGCCCTGTGAAAAAATAAATGATATTTAATAAACCAGTGGATCTTATTACATAAGAAAGAGCAAACATCAATGTAATATCACTGCTTTAATATTCAGCCTGTTGTAATGAATTTTTTTTTACTTTATATGTTACGGACTTTTAGGAATAATGTGCATTTACAGCAAAACTGTCACAACCTCTCACAGTTCATATGAAATCTTGAATTGAAGCTGCCAGCTAAAGTATTAACAGGGTCCAAAATTAACACTCGGCAAAGTGCCAACTGCAAGAAAAAAAAAATGGTTTTGGTGAGTAAATCAAATCAAGTCAGTCGCCACAGAGAAATAGAGCCTGTCTTGCTTTGGAATGAGATCGATTCACTTGCATTATTTTTATCAAATAAAAACAGGAAGGATAAGTCTTGAGTTTTAGTGATTAAATTTTCTTAATACATTTGCAGGTAGCATCTGTCATTCACGTTATAGCATAGTGCATAAAAGATAAAATAGACATACGATTTAAAATCAGAGGAAATAATACTTGAGACTGCAGAAGAACAATATCCAAAATATAAATAATAATAATAATAGTTTTGTCCCTATTTTGGGTCTTTAAACTAGTGTGCTTATTGTGTTGTAAAACACTTTTGCTGCTGCTGAGGTGGAATATGGGTAAGATTAGAGGTTTATGTTTGGGTTAAGGGTTAGGAGAAGGGTCAACAGTGTAGTTATAGATCTATGCACAGAAATGAATCACGGATGTAATTACAGCACATGCAGATATTTAGAAAATATAAATACTGTATATGTTGTTACAGTCTATTTTGGTGGACATTTAATGAGGAAAAAAAATTAACTTAAATGATTTTAGCAAATGGCTGCAATATAACAAAGAGTGAAAAATTTAAGGGGGTCTGAATACTTTCCGTACCCACTGTATATATATATAAATTGCTTGCTTATAGAACAGTTGTATAAACTTGAACATCGACATTCACAGTTAAATTGTACTGTCGAATTAGCTTTTTTTTTTTGACTGTGGCTGAATCACAGCCAAGCACATATTCTGAACAACAATACTGTTCCTCATGTGAAATTTTGTTATGCTAGGCTGAACTCATATAATACAGTAAACTTTAATAGCTGTCATCTGCATGACTCTCTGCGTACTGTGATTCACTCTCTCACTGAACGCTTTCACACATTTCCACCAGTGTTTCCCTGCAGCTGGTGGAGTGCAGTGTTTATATCACACTGATTGATTGCATCAGCCGAGAGCATGTGTCAGACTCTTGAATTTGTGGATATTACTGCATTTGTTGTCTTTATGTTTATAATCCAATTCAGTTCTTGTGTTTTCCTACCTGGCTTTTGGTGGGGAAATGCTGGCTGTCAGCACAAGAATGCATCATTGACAGATGTTTTTAGTGCTGTGCTGGAGCCTGGAGGCAGCATCACGACTGCTCAGGAAAGACTATTTTATAAGAGATGACCACAGGCTTGATTAGTTTTTAGTCAGAATATCACAGGTATGGTTTTAATACAACAATATAATATTATATTATATTTCATAACACAAAAACATGGAAATGTAACGTGTTATGTCCAAAATAAGTAGGCCTACCCAACAAGCAGCACCATCCAGAATTGAATCGAAACTTACAATCTGATTAAACAGAATTTAATTTTAGAACAAACAAAGTGAATTGAAATTCAAATAAATGCATATACTAATATTTTCAAATTTAAAAATTTTAATAGAGACTCTTAAATTCTCGAAAACAAAATTCTAATTATATATTAAATAATTAGGACTCATTTTGGGCTCTTGCCTTGTCAATGTTTAATTGCATACAGAATCATTCATTACTGCACACATCAATTAAGATGTATTAAAAAGTTGTTTGTAGTTTTGAGCTTGTTATGTGAGTATGGAGAAATAATCGTGTTCTTCTAAATGCTAATTCTAAACAATCGAGAGCTCATTATGCAGGACACACCTGTAATTTTGTTTGTCAGCTGTGATCTTTTGGAGAGACTTCAAAGCAGCGTACGGGTAACATTAGCATGTCCAGCTGGTGCAGATGCAGAGAATGTTGATTTGTGCAAGGCATGCTACTCTGACATCATATTTCATAAAATATTGACGCTCACACCATTGAACTGTAAGCCTTAAACTTGGAAGGAAAATCTTTTTCTGACAAATTTAATTTTATCCCCTAACTATGGAAGCCCATTTCC